CTCGTTCCCGCGTCTTTCCCCGGGGTTACCGTCTCCACGCATGGCTTCTATCTCGTTACTCAACCCTAAGGCCGAGTTTGCTCGTGCCCAGAACGCTTTCAATGTAAATGTTTCCGCCGCAAGAGGGTTGTACGATGTCCTAAAAACTAATTTAGGTCCCAAAGGGACAATGAAAATGTAGGTCATTTCCATTTTCACCATTCCTAGGCTGGTGTCAGGAGCAGGCGATATCAAGATCACTAAAGATGGCAATGTTCTCTTGCACGAAATGGTACGATATATTTCCTTCATTTATTTCAGCAAATACAACACCCTACCGCAAGCTTAATTGCTCGTGTTGCGACTGCACAGGATGATGTAACGGGTGACGGTACAACTTCAACCGTGCTACTTATCGCCGAACTTTTAAGACAAGCTGAACAATTCACATCTGAAGGCCTTCACCCGAGAATCATTACTGAAGGCTTTGAGATGGCAAAAACCCAAGCTCTCGATATTCTCTCTAAATGTCGAATAGACTGTCCTTCAAACTCGCTTGACAGATCCATTCTCCTTTCTGTAGCCAAAACCTCATTGGGAACTAAAGTTCATCTAGAATTAGCCTCTAAGTTAGCTGAGGTAGCCATTTGATAACTTTTAGTTCCTTTACAGGACCTTGTCGACGCCGTTTTGGCCGTTTTTAATCCTCTCGAAGCACTCGATCTTCATCGGATTGAGATAATGCAGATGCAACATAAGGTTGACATGGATAGCTCTTTAGTCAAAGGTCTCGTCCTTGATCATGGTGGACGACATCCGAATATGCCGAAGCGTTTATCCAATGCATTTATATTGATTTGCAACGTATCTCTTGAGTATGAAAAGACGTAAGTCTTCTTTAAATACTATTTCAGTGAGGTGAACGCTGGATTTTACTACAAGTCCGCCGAGGAGAGAGCTATTTTCGCAAAATCAGAGCGAGCATTTATTGATCAACGGGTCAGCAAAATAATCGAACTCAAACGCAAAGTCTGTGACGCAGGTCAAACTGGACAGGGCGACACTAAGCCTGGCTTTCTTGTAGTAAACCAAAAGGGAATAGACCCTTTCTCTCTCGATGCGCTTGCTCGTGAAGGAATATTGGGTCTTCGTCGTGCTAAACGGAGAAATATGGAACGCCTTGCACTTGCATGTGGTGGATTTGCTGTTAATTCTGTAGATGACGCTAACACCGATTGCCTTGGTTTCGCTGGACTTGTCTATGAATATGCAATGGTAACTGCTTTTGATTACTTGTTATCTCTAGGGGGAAGAAAAATATACCTTCATCGAAGAATGCAAGAACCCTCATTCAGTGACTCTACTTCTTAAAGGACCAAACAAATATACACAAACTCAAATCAAAGACGCCGTTAATGATGGTCTCAAAGCAATCAAAAATACTATAGAAGACGGTAATTGTTTTTTTTACATACTCTCTACTCTATAGGATGCGTTATACCTGGGGCAGGTGCATTTGAAATAATTGCTCATAGAGCTCTTACATCGTTTAGCGAAACTGTTAAGGGCCGTGCCAGG